GTTTTTTACAGTCTAACTGTATAATTGGTATTTTATTTGTTATAAAACCTTGTGGGAGCTGTCATTTCTGTTTATTTAATTTATTTTTCTAACTTTTATTCTTTGACCTAAACACAAATCATTTACCTTTTTATTTTCAAAATTTTCCACAGAAAAATATTGTTTTCTTTAATCTGTCTCAGCAAACTGGCTCTGATTGGTCTTTAGCTTGTTGCTATCTTTTAGCCAACTTTCAGCTTCTTTTAGCTAAACTTTTCATTCTGCAGTTTAAAGAAACACTTTGCTTCTGTTACGTTTTACAGAACGTTTTGCTAAATTTAAAATTCATTTAGCTTACGTCTATTGTTTTAGCTTTTAGCTACAACTTTGCTAGTTAGCTTTTAGCTACAACTTTGCTAGTTAGCTTTTAGCTAGCTATTTGCTACTTTTTAAACTGTTTTAACTACTTTTCTATTTTTGGCAAATGTTTTGCTACTCTGCGTATTCTCTTTTGTGGATTTGAATTAGCCTTTTGCTACTTTTTTAGCTTTTTTAGCATGGTTTAACAGAAAATACATATTGGTGGTGGTTGTTGTTGTTGTTGTTGTTGTTGTTGTGGGGAGTCGTCCTGTAACCTGAAAGTCGCCGGTTCATTCCAGCTGTCTCAGTAGTTGTGTCCTTGGGCAAGACACGGTGCATGGCAGCCATGTATGGGATCAATCTTGTGCCAACAGGAAGTGAATCTGAATGTTCATAATTTCAAATTAAATGCGTTGGTTTGAAAATAAATTTCACTAAATTGAAACTGAATTTAAAGTTTTGTATCTGAATTAATTTGCTTTGAAACTGTATTTTGGTTTATTAAAAATTCAGTTTGACTACTTTCACTTTCAGTTCCATAATTCAGATTTTTGTGTCACATCCTGGTCCTTGAGAAAGCCAGGCAGAGTAATCAAACACAGATCCACAGATTTATGTTTCACTTTGGTGAAGTTTCTCTTCTGTATGTAACAGAGTTGATGTAATCCACTGTAAAAGTGACAAAAACAGACCGTTATTTTATTGATGTGATTAATTTGACCTATATGTAGAAAATGTTACATTTACATCACATCATGGATCAGATGCTGCTGCTGACTGATCCATGATGGGATCTCTTTTCAAGAAGCTGGCTCTTAGCTCCTCATCTGTAACCTGGTGTTTGCTGATGTTGCTGATGTTGTTTATGTTGTTTATGTTGTTGATGTTGTTGATGTTGTTGCACTTGTTGCCTTCCAGCTGTAACCAGAAATGGCCGGGAGTCAAACTGGTATTTGGGTCATTTGGCCACAGACACACAGGCCACGCCCACTTCCTGTTCATGACCCCCTCAGATTTATCAGTGATTGGTTTATATTTCTCACTCGGTGTGTTTAAATTTTTCTGTTGTTTATAAAATCTTCTGAAAAATAAACAGTTAAACTCTGATTTTGTACAAAATAAAACTCATCCTGCTGAAACTTTAATGTTTGATTCTGTGGATAAAAGATTTTCTTCTGATGAAAAACTGAACCTGGCAGTCGTTGCATAACACCAGATGACGCACACACACACACACACACACACACACACACACACACACACACACACACACACACAGCGTGCTGCAGTGCAGAGATGCTGCAGCTGGTCACACTGCTGCTCTCTGCTCTCTGGACTCGGGGAACAGTTTATGGTCTGGATGATGGAGCGTTGGAGCTTCCTTCAGGGCTCTGAGCTCTAAAAAGAGAGAAAGTCTCCATCAGAGAGTTTGATGCAACATTAGGCGCTGCTGCAGTGAACAGGGCTGGACTGAGTTTCAGACATGCAGACAGATTTATTCAGCAAAACATCTTTAGAGGAAAAACTAAAATCTCTACGTTTTCATCAAGATGCTGCAGAACTTAAAGCTCTGCATTTTAAACCCTGTTGTTGTGTCGTACATCTACTGAAATAGTAATTAAATCGTTGGTTCATAAGATATTTTGCAAACAAACAAGCAGAATTACGTCATAAAAGCTGAATAATCATAAAAGATCAAAAATAAATCAGTTTTTATTAGAGTGTTCTGATCTTTGACCTCTCACGCTTTGATAGAAACAGACTAAAATACTTTAAATATAATTAAAAGATTATCAAGTGGACCAGAAAAAAATGTAACAACGTCCACATTTGGCCAGCGGGCCGTTAGTTTGATGCCCCTTTCTCTGCGCCTAAAATAAATAAATAATTTAAAAAATAAATAATAATAATAATAAAACTGAGGTTCACAGAAACTGAAAGCTGCCCTCTGAGCTGGAGGACCACCTGTTGGAAACCACCTGACGGCCCGTTGGCCCCGCCCCCTCAGCAGGATCAGCCCCACCTGCTGCAGCCTGACAGATCTGCAGCTGAGGCTCAGCAGACAGACCTGCAGACCGGACTGGGTGCGCGCGGGGGTCCGTGAACGCCTCACAGAGGATCAGAGTCCCGGACCAGAGACCCGGACCAGAGAGACCTGCTTCCGGTCAGGATCCTTCAAGTTTCCTTCTTATGGCAAAGTTTCTGTCTGGATTACTGTCATGTACTCTTCCTGATAGAGGAACCCACCCTGTGTTTGAGAGAATGAATTAGGGGAGGAGGGCCTGACATCGGAGTGAGAGGAGGACGCGCAACGTGGCAGTCAAGCCCGCGGCGGTGAGTGGAGGGT